AGCACTTATTAGCAAACTGCTTCGTAGACACTGAATTAGGCAACCACTGCAAAACTCATGAAGTGTCACTTCCTATGTTCTGTGGGTGTCCTCATTCCAAAAGCTCTGATGCTGCATTGCGGAGAGCTGCAGACCCACGGGAGGGCCAAGCATGTGATTGGAGGTGCTTCTGTTTTAAGGTGCAAGTTAGACCACCCGCTCGGGTGCCAGTGAGGTGGCTCTCCCTCTCGGCGGGTGCTAAGCACAGAGTCGCTGTGTCTACACCGCTTGCCCAGGAGGAAACACACCTGCGCTGCCCGCCAGGCGGGGAAGGGGGCTCTGGCCTGAGCGTGGCTCATTAGCTCCACATCAGAACCCCGGCCTTGGCCTCTCTCCAGCCCACTGGTTCTCAACAGCAGCGTGAAAAATGAACCACTGGGGAGTGGGGAGTGACTTCAAATGCAAATCTGAGGGCCCTGCCAGGAAGATTCTGACTCCTGGAATAGGTCCGGGATGGGGCCGGGAATCGCCCACAGCTGCGAGGGATTCTGCTCCATCCCGGAGCACACCCCTTTGTGGGATAGTGGGGCTGTTAGGTGCTCCCATTCTGTCAGCGGTCAGGGGGCACCCCGCAGAGCTCTCTGCCAGCAGGGAACGTTCAGCCGCCCCTGAAGCGGCCCCTGACCCAGCCCCCAGCTGTCCTTGGCTCAGGAGGCCATGGCCCTGGCCACGCAGGCAGCCGCCCCACAGCCCTGCCCTCTTCTCACTGGTTGTCAGGAGGCTGACGGACGGGGTCTGGTCCAGCCTTCCCCCTGGAGAGCTGAAAGCAGAGTGTACTCCTTTCTCTGGGGCCGGTGTGTTCTCCACGAGAGAGAACAGACAACAGGTAGTTTCTGAGAGAGAAATGGCCTTCATCCACAGGAGCTGACCCAGTGGATGGAGCCCCTGTGTCTGAGCGCCCGTGCGGCCAGGCCTTTGCTGACCTAGCAGTGGACAGTGCACATTACCGGTGCTCTGGTGGCACTGCTGTAGCCGCTACTCGATGTCCCGGAGGAGGGGTGGAACCCTCCTGGCACCCTGTTGTTTTCCTCGGGAAGCACTGCTACCCACGAGGACACGGTACTGCCGTCTGCCCGCCCATGGGTGGGTTAAATAGGTTTCCAGTAGGCTGTCCTGGAAACCTGCCTCTAATGCACGACATCATTGCCCTGGGAATGTGTATTCTGAACTCCTCAAATCTAATTGCTGGCAAACTCGGGGACCATCATTTGCCTGTGAGTTAGGAATTGCTTGTATGACTCAGCCCTTGAATGTCCTGAGGAAGTTGGGGCAAAGCCCAGGCCCTGATTCCAAAGGTCGGGCGTGAATGCACCTCCAGCAGAGTCCTCACTGAAAGGCTGAGCCACCTTCACGCCACGGGCTGTGCCAGGCCCCTTGAATGAGCAGACTGCGAGGGCCGCTTGGGGCTGTGACCTGTCTCATGGTGGGGTCCAATTTTCCTACTACAAACCAGGAAGCCAAAGGCCTCTGTGCGGAGCTCTGGCCTGGAAGACAGAAAGGCCATTCCCTTCAACGGCAGGAATGCTACCTTTGTCTTCACTCAGGTGGCCCTGTGAGCCCCAGGGCATTGTACTGGAAGATGTTTGTAGAAGAAAAACCGCTGCAGCGAGGGACTGCTCTGGGTGTTCAACTCTGCCCCAGATTCAGCCCAGCTACGCCCTGCTGCCTGGCGATGCCGAGCAGCGTGACTCGCAGACCCACTGTCTCCTGTTTTGTTTGTGCTCAGGGCACATAGTTTACACAAGTACTTACTGACCAGAGGCAACGTCCCTTACTCAAGTCGGATGCTTATACATGTGTTCGGGGATACATACCACCACCACCAAGAATCTTTTTGGCAGGGCTGAATCATGAAGCAAGAGTATCATGAAGATTTAAGAATGAAGTTGAAGTTTCCATAGAAAATTCTGACATTGCAAAATGCCATCATTGCCAGATGGGAGATGGAGGGATTCTGCACCCAGAGGCGGGAGCTAGCAATCGGTACACCTGCGGAGGCTGAATTAAGAATTCTACTGAGCTATCCCAGAGCCTCTCGCCATAAATACATAAATATTCAGAATCTGGAATGAATAGGAAACCAATCCCTTCAAACTCAACATGTGTCTTGTGGTGTGGAACTGGCACCCACGGTCCTTGCGAAAGCCATTAAATAAAACGTGACAACTACTCGAGACCCACTGTGAAAATAAAAGGCCTTAGCAGACAAAACCAGGCTCTAAATGTCATGGGGCAAGCAGCAACTCACAAGGACGGCCTCCTCACTCTCGTCCACTGGTGCCTGACCCAGGGGTAGTTCCTCTTAGTCTAGGCCATTTCCAGAAAAAGCAGGAGCGTAGCTAGGACTAAAACCTGATATGAAACCCCCAGGTAAGAGGTGGATCTTAGGCACAACCCCACCTTTCCTTTCAAAGCAGCATCAACCCTGCATTTGAAATCAAACCCCACCTTCCTCCCTCCCTGCTCATTCCTGAGGCAGCTCTGAGGTGAGCAGTGATTTCTCAATAGTGTCTTGAGCCAAAACACATGAGGACACACAGCGGCAGATCCAGACTTGCCGGCCCCATGGAGATTACACAAAGCTTGGCCCCAAACGTGGAATAACGTGAGCACGTACGAGGTGCTGAACATTCCACCAGTGGCCTGCATGTCAGATGCGTGCCTGCATTCCCACAGATCTGGCACAAGGCCCTTGGTTAAATGCCGGTTCTGTGCTACCGAGACACACCAAGAGCCTAAATTTGGCTCTTGACCCCTTTGAGAGCAAGGCTGTTGTATGCTGACCCTCTCCTACCTCCTGCCTTCCTCTCCTACCAGGATCTCACACACACAAGTCGAGGATAAAACACAATCCCATAAACAGGAACTTTATTCAACTACATGTTACATAAAAGAACATATAAATGGACCTTTAAATACATTCAGTTCATCTTAAACAATTTCGTATAGAAACTTATGTACATTTCTCCATTATATACTTAAATTATTTTTCCAAGCTTACTACCGATAAAAGGTAATAGAATGATCACCTGCTCACACAGATGCAAATACAGAAGTTGTCCACAGGGCTAAGTAAAATAAAACACCATTTCCCAGGAGCCTCGGCTTATTGGATTTCAAAGCAACTTGTTCTGGAGGTGCTTTCTTCTGTGCAGGCCTTTAGCGAGGCCTCTGCTGTAGAGGGGCCAGGGGCTGGTGCTGAGGGAAAAGATGGGTGCTTGGTGGTTGCAGCGAGAACTGCTGGAGACCCTCTGGAGGCCATGCCCCATCCCCCTCCTGCAGACTGGGAAAAGGGCTTAGGGAGAGGGAGTGACTTGCCCAAGTGACACAGTATCAGCAGTGGAACAGGGACTCGAACCCTGGTCCCTAGGGTCTCACCTAGGAGCTCTGACTCTGTTACTGTCCACAGATCCACCAATGTTTTCTCTCATCCATTTCCCATCCACCCACGGGCCCTATGTTTTGAATGCTGTTGTCTGCACGGCGAAAAACAGCTCAGGGTTTCCATTAACCATCTCTGCGGAGCCCTGGAAATACCTACTCGGGGCTATTTTCACAAGAGGCTGTGTGGTCAGGTGCCTTACTTCTTCAGCCATAAAGTTTCCTCTTTCAGTTTAGCTGACTTATCCACGTTGAGTTTCCAATTAATTTGGATGGAAGACAACATCATACAGGAAAGAGACTGTAATACATCTTACTTGCCTAAATCCCTCTACCACTTTTGGATCTGAAATGAGGTTTACACTAGCAAATGACCAAGAGTGGAAAACCAAAAAAATTTCAGTAATTCCCCCATTTCCCTACTAGTCTCAGAGGGAAATAGTGAAGTGGGCACTGGGTAGAAAAAGGACGTTTTCCCCTTTCTTTTAAATGAGGCCTTTTTCCCAAAGCCTCATTTTTCCTGGTGATATAAATTCTTCTAAAAGTAATTTCATTTTTTTTGTCTGTTTTTAAAAACCTGATCCGGTTTTTCTCAAGATTTCAAACCACTGTACCAAAGAACAGACATCAACATTTACAAGTATCATTGTTGAGATAGACTCCAGAATCCAGGTCACATCAGCAAAGAAGGGCTGGGAGCAGGGAGAAGCCTGGGAGACAGGAAGGTTCGTTCTCACCTGTAACTAGAGCGAACACAAGTCATAGCAGCTTTCATCAGTTGTACAACAGATAATACACAAACAAAACATGGAACGGAAAAGGTGTGATCAGCTGAACAGCCCCTGATGTCTTCTAAATCCCGAGACTTCGGCATTCTCCCTGGGGCTGCTACTTGTCTGCCGGGAGGCTCGCCCTGAGGCCACGTGAGCCGCCAGTGCACGTCCCACTGCGCATGGCGCCCACGCTGAACTCGCAGGAGCACCAGCCTCTGTCCACAGGTCTTGCTCTCCCTCCCTCCCGCTCACACACAAACCCTCCCCCAAAGTCACGCAGGGAGGGCGAGCAAGGCAGAGTCTTCCAGGACACGGTGCCAACCACAGAACAGCAAGGGCTTGTGGAGAAGTCCAGTGGCCAGCAATGGACAGTGGGTGGGCAGGAGGCACCCTGAGGCCAGGGAACGCAGGAAGAAAAAAAATATCCTTGTACAGTCTCTCTTCTATCTCCCCTACTGCCCCGCCCCCAGGAGGCATTCACTCTGCAAAAGGAACCAACCAAAAAAAAACCAACACTGAATTTTTATATTGAAAAATAAGCCTTTGCTATATAAAAACTGGCCGAAATTCCTTTTTTGCTCATTGTGTAAAAAACTTGCACGCCCGAGTCTTTCACAGGGTTGTTGTTTGGGGGACAGGGTTTGCTTGCGCAGCCGTCTGGCTTGTGTGCAGGGGGACTCGACAGCAGGCAGCAGTCCCAGGCCTCCCGGGTTGTACCGTCAGTGACATGAGTGTGGGCAGGTGGCACCAGTGATGCGCTTGATGCAGAACAAAGTTGTTGGGTGCTGGCCTTTCAGGGCAGTCAGTCCTCATCGTATCCCCAGGAAGTGAGAAGACTGGCACCCATCACTTCCACAAGGGATTAAGGATTTTCCCCAGTGTGGTCCGACCGGAGTCTTTCTGTCTGAAGGAGGCCCTTTCCCCAGTCCCTCTGCCCTTCAGAGAGGCCTCTAGGTTGGCACCGGGACTCTCAGGAGACTCTGGGCACTTTTTGGGAGCCCGGGTGCTGCTGGCCCGCCGCAGGGTGCCACCCTCCTTGAGGCCCGCGTCCTCAGAGCCACCCTTCACCCTCAGCTGCCGCTGGGAGGCCGCCCGAATGAGGCCGGGGGCTTTGTTCACAGGAAGAGGATCTGTTTTAATGCACCGGGATGAGGAGGCCACTGTGTTTCGGGCAAAGCTCGGCACGTGGGGTTGGCCCCGGGGGGCGCTGGGGGCCGGTGGAGGGGGTTTGGGCTCTTCTTCTGGGCTCTGGGGGCCGGGGGAGCTGGAGCGGCAGATCTTATTTTCCTCGGACTTCTGTCGGGGGACGTTCCGGAGGGGCTTGGCGCTGGGCTTCTTGAGGGAGCCCTTGGGCTGCAGGGCAGGCTCCTTCCCCGGCCGGGTGCTGCCGGAGCCCAGCCTTGCTCGCGGGGGCTTCTGCTCCTCGGCCACCTCCCCAGGCCCCTTCGAGGACCTCTTGGGTGACGTGTCCGAGGTGCCCTTGACAGAGTTCCGGCGGGACCACGGCGCGTCAGTGCTGCTGGAGGGGTCCCGGGGGGGCTGCTTCAGGCCCGCGGAGCCCCTGCTGGCCCTGGAGATGGGCACAACTTTGCGCATGCTCTCACTCTCCGAGGACGTCAGGGTCCGCACGGGCTTGGACGCTGCCCCCTGGCCTCGTGGGACAGTCCCAGGCTTGGAGGTTCCCTGGGACCCCTCTTTGAGGGAGTTTCTCTTTGGTGCTATCCCATCCTTCCCTTTAGAGGGTCTGTCCCTGGAAAGGCCACCCTTGCAGCTGGGCCCGCTCTTTGCAGAGGCAGAAACAGGGGTCTCCCCAGGGGGGCTGGAGACAGGGTTAGAGGACACTTGGCTACCACTCGTCTCCCCCACCCCAGAGGACAAAGAGCCATCCTCCTCGCCCCTCTCCCCGGCCTCCCCACCGCCGGGCCTGGAGTCAGTTTCCTCTGAGCAGTCCAAGGTCAGCGAGCAATCGGTGACATCGGAGATGCAGGACAGAGGCCCAGGGTCTTTGTTCTCAGGGTTGATGTGGGGCTCATCCGAGGCAGTCCCGTCACCCTCCAGGGCTGGGCTGAGACCCTCTTGGGCACCTGTACCCACAGGCGTCAGGCTACCATTGCCAGTGCCAGAGCCAAGGGGCTGCGGGCTCCCATCCTCCGGAGGCACCAGCTCCACCGGGCTGAGGTCGGACAGGTTGAGCTGGGGTGTCTCCTCTGGGTCCTTCGGAACCTGGACATCGAACTGGGCCAGCCCAGTCACCAGCTCATGCTCCTTGATTCCCAGAGTCAGCGGCGAGAGTGGAGGGGACCAGGTGGATGCCAGGGTCACAGGCTCGCTGTTCCTCTTTTGGGGCACGCTGAGTCTGCTGCGCCGCGGTCGGAGCAAAACTGGAGCAGGTTCCTCCGCTGGCTGCGCTAGGAGCTGGCTGCACAGAGCCGAGGGTGGGTCGGGGGCTCCCCCCTGGCCATCCGAGGCCTGAGGTCTGTGTGTGTCCTTGGAGTCTCGGCCCCTTGGCTCCCTAGACTCCATCCAGGCCACCGTGGGCCGGGCCTGCCGGGGGCTGTTCCAGGGCAAGCTGTGGAACTTGTTGGGGTCCTCGGGGCTGCCTGTGGAGCTCTCCAGGAAGGTCAGCAGCTCCCGGTCAGCAGCGGTGCCCAGGGAGAGGCGGGAGCGGCGGGTGTTGGGGGGTCGGTACGAGGGGCTGACGGGCCTGCGTTGCAGGAAAGTGGGCAGGTCCTCTGCACCCTTCTTGATCAGCATCTCCACGTCATTCTCACTGCTGCTGCGGCCGAATCCCGCGAGATCCCCAGCCGCCCAGGAACGCCGCTTCTGCTCCATCTCCTTCAGCCGCCGCAGCTGCCTCAGCTCCTGCACCTGCCGGTTGTGGTTGTCCTGAACGAGAGGTGGAGAAATATCCAAAGATGCATCAGACACAGGGGACCCGTGTGCAACTGCAGAGCCACTTACCCCAAGACCTCAATGACAGATACATACATGTGTGGAGGAGAGACCTGGGTCATGGGTGTCACTGAGAGAGGCTCTGTGTGTTTACATGTGCATGTGGAGGGAGGCTAGGTTCTCCCAAAGCTATGTCAGCAGAGGAGCGACACCACGCCTGGCCCCAAAAGTCTAAGGTTGTCCTCTGATCCCTCGGCCCAGCTTCCAGCTTTGCAGTCAAGGCACTGTCCCCTCAGGGTAGGCTGTGATTCCACATACACTTGTGACCTCAACTCCAAGGAAACCCAGTTTGGTTTTTGCAAGGACACATACACGCACACGTGTGTGCTCCTGTGCAGTACATTCTACCTAACAAGGATACGGATGGATAAATTTACACCCAAGATATTAAGAGAGGCCTTTCAACTCTCCGCTCTCTGACTGCTCCTTGGTAAAAAACAACAAACAACAAACAACAACAACAAACACCAGAAGTCCCAGGGTGGCTCTGTCCCTCGTGCCCCATGCCCTTCCCACAATCGGAGAAGAGAATTTGCCTTACAAATCCTTCTCCCTTACACCCTGTTCCAAGTATCCAGCTCTCCTCCAATAAAATGGAACCAGAACAAATGCACTTAACAAAGTACACTTTACTGCCTGGCTATGCACTTTAAATAAATTTGTGTCATGGAAATAGGCGGATCTCCTAACCCAAACCTGTTATTGGGTAGCACTTTTTATTTGAAAATCAATATCCTCAAATGATGAATGTTCCTGTCCAAGTTTCTGTGAGGCCCTGGCTCTGGCCGGCTGCCTGTGGTGGGGGTGGGGCAGCCCTCGGCTCTCGGGGCAGCTGGGCTGACAGTATCACACAGGTGGCCTCGACAGCCTATAGAATTCTGACGGGGGCCAATTTGGCCTCTCCCACCCACCACCGCCTTCCCCTGCTGAGCTCACTGCTTGGACAAGGGAGAGTAAACGTGGCCACAGGCTGAACCTCCGTCTTAGCTGCACAGCGGAAGGAAGAATCAAGAAATCAAGGAACTCTGGGCTGCTCACTTAGGGGTGGAGAGAAATTTGACCCATCCCTCAAAGGAATTTGGCTATGGACAAATCTGCTCTGGAAATACAGAGGAAGAGATGATGCCCAAGTATGAGGCTCCACATCAGCACCGGAAATGAAGGGAGGGGAGCTGTTTTGTTTTTAATTGAAATGAAAGTCTTCTTTGCAAAGCCCAGTAACCCAGAGAGTTTTCTGGCTTCTGCAATGAACTCAGAGATTATCGGAACTGACGGTTGTGCTCAGACCATCAGCAGCACATGCGTCTCGGGTATCTGAGAATTTCCAAGTCTGCTGTGGCTGAGGACAACACGGTTCCCATGGTGCCAGCCCCCGGTGATGGCTATGGAGCTCCAACCAGTGAGAGAGGGCCTTCTGGTCCTCCCACTACAACAAAGGTCTCCTGGAAGGGGCTCTTTTGTCCTATAAGGGGAGGTGGGAAAGCCCTTCAGGAGCTTCACAGAGACTTTTTAATATTGTGACTGCCATCATAAGTACACCTGACTAACAAAATGCTTTTAGGGCACTGAGTGTTGGTACGAGCCTCCGAGTCACGGAGGGCTGGGACGGCACAGCTGCTTCCCCCGAGTCCCAGCCGAGAGCCTGGCGAGCCTGGCAAGCCTGGCTGGGCCTCACTTGCCTAAAACCCCCGACATGCGCAACCATCTTTCTACCATGGGCAGAGTGGCTGGGTCTGGAAAAAATAAATAAATTAAAAATCCAAACAACTCAGAAAACACAGAGATGCCATCTGCCATACCTTGACCGCTTTGCTGAATTTGATGCAAAAGTCTCGAAATATCTGAAGGCATTCATCCAGTTTCATGGTTTCTTTGTCTTCGCAGAAAAAATCTATAAGGGTGTGGGCCTCCTCCTGGAGCTCTTGTTTGCAGCTCTCCAGTTCGGTCAGCTTTTCCACCGCAAACTGCGAGAAAACAAACAGGCACGCGCGGAGGTGAACAGTCGGCCGACAGGCTGGGGCCCGAGCAGGTGTGCTCCTGGGTTCAGCTCCTGGGTTCAGCTCCCGGTCTCCGGGAAGGGAAGGTTTATTGCAAGCCCCATGCGCTCGGAACCCAACGGAAAACAAAATAGTTCAAACCAGACAAAGCCTTTGGGGAAGCAAGGTGAATGCCTGTGAGAGGCCTGGGGGCAACAGGAGAGACTGAGGGGCCTCAACTTGCAGAAGGCCACTAACAAAATGTTCACCTTTAATGTCACTGGAAAGAGATGTAGGTGAAACGGGGTCCTATTCTGGCCAAGAGTTACCTTTAGGGTCCCAGAGGTCACTTGCGCTATTGGCGAGTTGCTCAGGTGACAGGGCGGTCAGATTTAATCCCAAATGAGCTACGTCAGGGTCAGCAGGACCCCTCAGGAATGCAGCCCTTGGGCCCAAAGGCCCCAGCCAGGGCTCCTTATCCGGCTACTTATCTAAGTCAGCTGGGCCACTCTGTCTACAGTTCATGCCATTCGGTGGCTTTGAGATGGACCCAACATTGATATTTTATTAAAAGTCCCCAAGAAATTCTGATAGGTACCCATGGTTAGGAGTTACTGCCCTATGCAAATCGTCCTCTTTCCTTCTTCACTGTCTCCTGATTCCTCTAGGACAAAGTCTCCGAGGTCCCTACAGGTTCAGGGACTGCCTCAACAAAGAGATGAAAGAAGCTTGCTTTTCTCCCAGGAGTGCAACCCTCTCGGGAAGAGATCTACCAGAGCCTAGGGGCACACACACGCGTCCCTGCTGGCGGTTCAGGGACAGCTGATGCTGAGCAGAAATGAGGAAGCGGGCGTGATTCGAGGAACCACAGCCCCGCGGACCCTGAGGACAGGGATCAGGCTCTAGTCTCAAGCTGCTTTTTCTTTCACTGGGTCCCAACACTTAGACGAAGAAGGACGGTACAGCATACATTATGAAATCATGCATATCATGTTTTAAAGGCTGGGTTTTGGGAAAATGCTTTTTGAGTGGCGGGGGGGCAGGCCTAGGAAATGGTGAAGCTACAGGGTGCCCACCCTCAAGGAGTCAACTGCTGCTTGACATGCTTGGAGAGCCAGAGGACCTGAAGAGATGTCCGAGGAGACGCATCACCTCCCCACACACTCCAAAGCACTCCCCCTTAAAAGCCCTCTTCTTACACCAACTACACTCAAGAGGTTGCAGGGAACCAAAACTATTTAGGAAACCAAATACCAGAGAAAGTAACCATCTGAGTCAGTAGCCCAAGGCACTGTGCATTCATGTTGTGTTTTTCTTTATGGAGAGAAGGGTATTAACGAAAGGCCAGATCTCTGCCCGTCATTCTTCTGCAGAAGGAAAGATGGATTCCAGCCAAGAACAGCTCAAAGGCAGAAAAATAGGACTCTTGACAAGAATGTACACAGGCGTTTACTCCACCTCACCATTCGAGTCCGAGGGGACTGAGAGGACAAGGGGAAGGAATGACTTAAATGCACTGCAGTCACCCTTAGGACCTGGGAGCGTGACATATTCTGAGGAAGGGTCTGAGACGTCACCATGCTCGGAGTTATTCACCAGGAGTTACTGTTTGAATAATTTTACAATTAGGGTCATGAACACTGGCAAACATGAATGACAACAGGTTAGCAGTTGTGGTGGCAAATTTAACTTTCCATCTCTAACTATTCCAGATGGGATACTAATATTTAGCAGGAGAACAGAACAGGGAGGCACCCGGAATCCTGGGCCTTCTGGATTTGCTTCCTTTGTGTGAACATGCTCACTGTTCAGTGTCTCCTCATCTACTGTTAGGTGTCTTGTGTGCTGGTGGTGTTACACTTTGAGCAAACTCTGTGCACTTTCAGGGGAAAATCAGAGTCTGGTTATATTGAAAAGAAAACATAGAACACATGTTTAATAATAAAAATAAAATCCCAACTGAGCCTGACAAAATCCAGTGTTTACTGATGGAAGCTGAAGCTCATATCTGTAGCTTAATTACAGGGAAACGAGTAAAGGCTTCGGTTGGAACAGCCCCTGGAGCACGGTGTTCCTTCCTGGTGCCAGCAGCCCCGCCGCACTGTTCCCTGTGCTCACCTCCGAGCCCTGGCATTTACGGCAGCTGCCGTTTCCCTGAAGACTGAAAGCATGAAAAGGTGCCACTTCTTTTTTTTAATGAGGAAGATAAAAGAAGTATGTCAGACTACGTGATTAGTGAGTCACAGGGAGCTGTCACAAACACGTCCACTCGGCGGTTTTCTGTTGTTATTCGGAGCGGCCCCTGACACACCCTGTTGGGCTGATATGTCTTGGGCGGTGATAGGCACAGCGATCATGTTCTCCTGCTCGCGTTATAAAACAAGCCAAAATGCGGCTGTGTCTTCAGTAAAAACAAGCGAAGGAACAAGAGTCCAGGTTCTCGGGTATCTTTAAAATTTCTGTGGAACTTCATCTGTTGTCCACAAGTTCGACGGGGAGACGGGAACCCCTAAACCACGGTTTAGAACCACAGCTTGCGATGCCAGGGTTAAGTAAGCGCCATAATCTGATGCCAGCTCACTGCAGTGCGGCGCGGTTGTGCACATCCAACAGTGATAAACAGAGGCTGCTCCCTAACGGAGACCTTAGTACATTTAGACCATATTCAGCATCTTTTCCTCAAAAACAATCCAGCAGAGAATGGGCATTGTAATATGAAGTTCCTTTTACTGACTGATGGGAAAAATATGAATGGGAACCTGCTGCTTCCCCAGACACACCTGTGGAAATCTAACCAGCCTCGGAAGAGCTGCTGGAAGATGAAATAAAGGGATTTGAATCACCCACAGACCTGAAGGAAATCTTGCATCTGCTGACAGAGTTCATCATCCCGCCGGATGTTTTCCTTCAGAGATCTTGTCCTAACAAAGAGCGAGTGCAGTTCTGCCTCCGTGTTATCCAGAGATAATCTGCAAGAAGAAAGGGGATAGTGGGCAGTGGGCAACAGGGAAGCCATGTGTCATGTGGGCACGTCAAGCAAGCCTAAACACGAGCCAACCTTAAAAACAGAAGGGGGGATACACCTGAAACTAATACAAAGTAATATGGAACGTAAAGAAAAAAATCAAAACATAAATTGACTATCATATATCGGTTTGAATGCAAAAGCAGTTACAAGGGTCTATTAGGTAAGACATTCAAGAAACTGGGGGGCGGGGGGGGGTAGGGGGCGGGGACAACCAAAAACTAAACACAAGGGGAAGGAGCCACTGCCATTACATCAACCTATCCCTGTATTCAGAGTTTCCACCTGGGCTGTTTTGAGGAGGAGAGTCCTTCCTAAAGACACATACTGGCCACAGAGAACAGGCTGTATGTAGCTGTGTCCTTGCTGATAACCCAAACCATGGGACTTGTCTGAATACCTTTAAGCCAAAAATCAGCATTAAAAACTAAAAGCTAGTGGGACTCAGATACACTTCCCTGTGTCCTCTAAACACAAACACGAAAGCTCTAACTCACAAAAAGCAAGGCAGCACATGCTGCCACTCCAGACATTAAGGGCCTCGCGGAGCTACTGAGCTGGCATCGCGTCGTTTCCCAGCAACAGCCAGAGTTCAGCGCTCTATTTTAGAGAAAACTAACAATTCTGCAAAGGCTTTTCTTATATATACCAAATCCATACCAGTAGAGCATAAATGATGTTTTCGTCACCCGGTAAAATGAACAGATTAGTCCCCAAATCCAGCGGGAAGGTGATTAGCAAGTTCACATATTAGGATGCTGTAGGGCTGCCATTGCCAATTCTGTTTTTTATGCAGTGAGTCTCTCACCTTCAGTGGTCACTGACAGCCACCTATGATCTGTTGGTACTTCCCCTTCCATTTCAAATAAACAGACATTACTGAACAGGACTTTTCCTAAGACCAGAGCTCGCTAAACTTCCCCACCTAACTCCATCCAGAACTGTCAGTCCAAATATGTAATAGTTATTTTTCTATTTCTGTCTCTTAGTAACATTTCAATACTAGTCAGAGGAAAAAAACAATTTGCACACAAATTCCTTGTAGTAACTCAAAACCAGATCAGCTTATAACTTATGAGAAAGGTGCTCATGCTTTCGGGGGAATAATCTGGTGATCGGCAAGCATATCTTCCATGAGGAAGATGAACTGTTCACACTTTTGGACCGATAACCTCACTTTGGGACAGACATGTAATCTGTGTTCATAGTCCCAACACTGAGACACTGGCCAGTGAGTGACAGGGCTTGGCTTGAAAAGTGATGGTTCATAGGCTCATGGATGTGGTTTGTGTCCTAACTGGATATCGTCACTCAGATAATTAAGTATATGCAAAAAAACTCTATTGCACATAAACCCATGAGCCAGGCTGATGGTGTGCGGAGGTCAGATCACAAGAGGTGACTGAGAGGACAGGTATCTCTTCCCAACTCCTCTTCAGTGACACCGCGTTGGGAGCTGGACATCAGCCCTGGGAGCAGCTCTTACGCCATGGAAATCAGCAAACAATACAAATCAGAACTTGGTTCTCCCCTGAAAAGCTAGGTTTTTGAACACTGACTGCTTTGATGCAGGGATGTGTCTCATACATTTAAAAACACAGAACTCGAGATAGCACATATACACAGGTTATAGCTACATTAAAATACACATCTATAATAGGATCGAGGCAAATCAAAATGTTGTAAGTAGAGCTTTATGCTTGGTAGATACTTTCTCTGTAAAGCTGAGTGACTAATTTAAAACAAAATCCTTTCACAGCCCTTGGTACGGCTCCAACTTCTAATGTAATAGAAAATAAATGTACCATGTTATATCCTACAAGGAAACAAACAGTGATGTATAGTCCTTCAAGTCTGACTGATGATACACAGGCTCCCAGGTAATAGGATGTGTTGTTTGAGCTCTATCTTTTGGGTGTGGAGGGATTTGAAGTTCTTAATCCATATTTTTTTTTAACACTGATTATATTCATTGGAATAGACTATAATAGGTCTTTTTTAGGTTAAAACTAAGGATTAATTTTTCAAAACCCCCAAATTCCAAAGGCATAAACACACACACCTCTGTGACTGAATGAAAGTAAAGTCTGAAAGTTCAATAAGACAAAACTTTTTAAGGGTCACACTTGAACCCAGAAGTTATAAAATAAGTCATCAGTTTTCCTAAGAATGTAGTTAAAAAAGAAAACCCTTAAATCTTCATAATTCACTTTCAGTTTTCCCAGCTTACCTAGCAGCCTCCTGAACATGGTGTAATTTTTCAGAAAAGTGGAGAAGACCATCATCATTCTTTTGGGCTTCCTGGAACAAAACCAGAATTTTCTCTCATTACATAGACTGAACTGGAAGGGAATAATTTTCTCAGAGTTTAAAGGAAACTTTAAATCAATGTTCCCATTTTTATGCTTGATACTTTCAAAGCAATTACCTGAACTAGGAGCCCTGATGTTCTTAGTAAGATTTACCAAAATGCCCTAACTCTCAAGATACATTTGACTTCCCAGAGCAACTGATTCTGTCATGAAATACAATGAATGTGCCTGGTAACTCAGTGGAAGGAGGTGGCAGCCTCGCTGTACACATTGTTTCTCAGAGAATCCAATACATCTTGCTTAAATACCACCCATACCTGCAAGCTTGCCTTTAAACGACCGAGATACCTTCAGTTGTTAAACCAGTTTGCAAACTGAGTTTAATGAGAAGGTGCGCGAGCCAGGGAGATTCTGGATTCTCCACCTGTTCACAGGGTAGGAGGAAGGCAGGTATAAAGGGACCAACTAGCAACTCTGGAAACTTCCCCACATGGGCAGGGACCAAGTTACACAGAGCACACCTGGATACACAAATCTAAAAGGGCGGCCAGAAGACTCCCTGCAGGGCGTGTGGGAGGAGGAACATATTTTCTGATTTTAATGTCCTGAAAACTAACTTTTAAATTAGTCATGAGGTCAACATGGCCTCCAACTTCTGAAGACTACAGTAATAATTGAACTCACTATTTATGGAGAAAGTACTATACGCTGAATATGAAGCTAAGCACTTTATGGAATCATCTCTGTTAGCCCTCTGGGTTACCTGGCTTTGAAGCATCACTACCCTATCACTGGATGAAGAGATTCAGGATCTTAGTTTTAAATGATTTGTGTGAGGAATTACAGCTAATAAATGACAAGTCAAAATCTCTCAGTTCTGCCCTGTTCTGAAGCTCACACTGGAAACAAGCACGTGACAAAGCCTCCTGCCCGGGGTTAAAGCTATGGTCTTTGTATTTGCTGTCAAAACAACAAAGGCATCCAATGAGGGAAAAAACAAACCAGAACAATTTGTTACTTGAGATGATTTAACAACAAAGAGATAATTGTCCTTGGCCGATTTTTCACTTTGTAACTAGCTCCTCGCCATCACACCGACCCAACCAAAAATGGAAGTGATGGAAGGGTCCAGGGTCCCCCTGGGCTTGCGGCAGAGGGTTCAAACCCAGGCCTCACAAAGGGGAAAAGAGGAAGTGATCTTTTTAATGGCCCTGACTCACTCACTCTTTACATATAACTGGTCAACAATCTAGTCAATTCAACATCAGAAATATTTCGACCCAGGCCTCTGCTTTCCATCCCTGTTACTGATTGTTGGCTCTCATCAATGAATTAGTGCCAACTGCCACCAGGAGGTACCCCGATTTCTAGTTCTCTCTCCACTCCAACCCACCCTCCACATTGCCTTGTTTTCCTGAAAGCAAAACCAAAAAAACTTACTCATACCAGGCTGCACACACACTTAGGTTTGCTCCCCATTGCTAAGGCATGGAATCCAAATTCCCTAGCCTTAGAGTCTGAATCCTTCCTACTCTGTCTTCATCAGCCCTCTGCCTCGCTGCCCCCACCACTGCGCTTCCCTCCAGCCCTCCAGCTCCAGGCGCAGCTCAGCTCCCGAATTTGCAAACAGAGCTTCTGCACAGAGAACCTTCTTGGAACCCACCATACCCTTTCCTAGTTCTGACGCACCGTATACCTTAGAAAAACCGCATGCCTGCATGGGGATTCACACACGTTCTCTCTCTGTATTAATCACTTCCATACCTGGGCAACAAAATGCAAAAGGTTCATCCCAGGTTTGTTTGCTTTTGTGTCTGCCAATTTGAGCAAAGAAGACAGTTTAAATCCAACTGCGTTGCCAGCATACCCTCCCTAAAAAAGACAAATCAGAAGAAAAAAAAATATATATCTATCTTCAGACAGACCAATAAAGGGGGAAACACAATGTTTTAAATTCTTTGAATTTTACTTACTGCATTCATGATATTTCCTGCTTGTAGCACCAAGTGTAATATCGAATGTAGCTCCTCACAAGACATTAGCTCTGCCAAAAGAACACACCATGGTACCTTAGAGAAGGCTTTTAGCTGAAATGCTGAAAAGGCAGCTACCAGCTACCACATCCAAATTCAAGAGTGTCTCAGGCAAGCTCTGACCCTGAACTGCACACAAAGACTGAGAAATTCAAGTAAAGCAGCACATCTGTGGTGCACCTTAATACAGCATTTGTTACTGGCAACCCACATCCTAGTGTTTAACTGGGAATCAAATATCTGTAACACTTGATTATCATAAAATACTTCAATTACAAAATTATTCGAGGAGTGGAAAATGCAAACAGCCTTAAACAAAGCAGTACACTGTATTACGGGAATAAAGTTTCTCTCTGCAGTTATTTCTGTTCTTCCTTTATGGCCACTAGCCTTTGACTACACTTATGGAACATGAAAACTAATAGTGAGCCACATTTTGCTTAGTGGATGAGCTATGAGGAGATAAAAAATAAACAGGCTGCTATGACATGCAAATAAGTTGCAAAGCACCAACCCTTAGGGACCAGGCACCCAGAGAATCTGTCTATTTTATTTAACACTATACATTTCATTTGGATTGTCTTAGAGGCTTAAAAAAACTTACTATTGTAATATATTGGTAAATTACCTCTTTAATTACAGAATCTTTTGTATATATGCCTACACACATAAGTATTAAAAATTGTTAACGTATTTGGAAGGCTAAAAAGTTTGATGATTAAAACACAGTATTTAATGTATAAAATGTCACCTAGTATATTTTTAAGTTAATATTCTCCCTGAAGTCTGGTATTACTTTCAAAAAATTACATTTGGATCACTGCCTACCCCTGTGCTATCTGAGGAGGCCAGTTTCTGAAGGGTAACCAGATAAGAAACGTTAGCACCGTGTGCAATGTGCCCTGCTCAATATGAAAACATGTTCTCCCATCTCCCTAGGGACAGGAGGAACCACCCCTCTAAAGTTGTTGCCATAGCCTTGGTCTAGAAAATTTTAAAAGATCCCTAGACTGAAAGAAGAAAAATTCTAAATTCTTAGTCTCCCCTTGAAAATGAAGAAACTATCATGGGCTGAAGAGAAAAACTTTATCTCAACACAGGTTGGAGCAACCAAATGGGAAACCCAAATAGGAATAAACAGTTCTGCGCAAGAACTAGAAATCCAGAAAATGACCAGAGGAAATGAGGGTGGCGCTCTGAATGCTGGGAAGTGGGAGGGCCAGAGACTGCCCTGAAGACCAGGAGGCAGCGCACCTGGGCCGGGCCTGCGCTCTCAGGGGCACAGAAGGCAGAAAGCCCCGCTCCCACGCCTTTGGGCTGAGACACTAGAGCAACTCTGAGGAGTCTATCCAAGCAGCGTAAGCCCAAAATTTAGTGTGTTGTTCAAAAAAACGAATATGGCCAACTCGCCCTTCTCAAATGTAGACAGCCTGCCAGTCGTTAGAGTCTGAGGGGAAGGCGGGTGGGATCAGAGGCACTAGGAACCCTGACAAAAGAGCCACACTGGCTGCGCAGGGGAAGTCGGGAGGACAGGGGGTCTGCTGGGAAAGCAGGGTCCTAGACACCTACAGAGGGCAGAGCATGCATGGCAGGAGAGAGTCGGCTGGTCCAAGGGCGCATGCCACCCCAACCACACACACAGAGAAAGCAAACCTTTGAGAGGGGCAAGAGGCAGCTGCAAGAAGCAAGGTTTACACCAAAGCTTGAGATGAAAGAAGGCTTCATTTACGGGAGGATAATGTGCTAATTAATCAATAGATTGATTAGTCAATTAATTAACTAATTAATCGGGGGGAGTAAATGTAAATAAACCTTAAATGCCATCCCTAGTAATATCTCATTTCCCATTTTAGGGTATATCAGAAATGGGACTTTGCATTTCTAATTTCAACTGAACAACTTTAAAAAATAAACTGCTACCCAAATTAATTAAAAAACAATTACATGAAGCATCATGAATTTACTTACCTTTTATAGCAGTTCTTAGAATTGTTATATCCTTATACAGAGAAGAACAAGAGGGTAAAAACTCTTTCTTTAGCACCATGGCTTCAATCCGAAGCGAATAGCTGAAAAGTAAAAATCAAACTGTAGAATCTGATGTCACTGGTTTAAAAACCTTACTCTGTAAAGAACAATGACCTATGGTCCTTACTTTGGCACCTGAATTAAGTAGTGCAGAAAGGAGTCCGCCAGTGACAGCTTGGACACGTCGCCACTAAATGTTTTTAATTTCTTTATCTAAAAGACAAATGGGAAGAGGGGGTAGAGAAAAAAATAACTTATGATTAAAATGTACCATGATTTTACATTTCCTCTTAGAACTCCTGTAAGCAAATAGGATTCAAATTGAATTCAGTGGTAAATCCAAACTAGTAAAAGTGGGGACCTAAGAAAGGCAGGAAAGGAAATCGCGTCTAGCAGTTTGGTTTTTTAAAAGCAGAAACACCAAACAAGCCAAACAAATTAGACTAAAAAGACCTGTGTCACTTCCGTGGGTGTAAACAATCCCACTCCAACCAGAGAGCCAGGATCCTCAGAGCGGTTACTAAAGGGAGACCGAAAAAGGGTCGTTCTAAGGATGAAGATTTTCTGTAAGTTAATACCCTGGAAGGGAGATCACTGTTTGGGAGAAGGAAAAAGAGACTGAGTAGTCATTATAAAACGGTCCTTAAGTCATAAGTGAAAAAAATCTGATTAGTTTTTAGGATTTGGTATATAAAATACTTAGATTGGGTAAGATCTAATGCAGATCTTTCTGTGGTCAAGTCCCCTTCACATATATTAACTTTACCAGGAGGGACTATGGTATGTCGAGGTGAGTGCACGCTGCTTCTCTGGCAGAAAGAGAAAAAGGGAAATGGCTTAACAGAAAGATCAATGCCAAGACATTCCCCTATGAAAGAAATCAGGTAATATAAGAATCAATACAATAGGATCTGATTTCTGTCTTTTTTTTTAAAGCATTGACTACCCCCGAGCCTCCACGCACAGACTACATACACAGGAAAGAGAACGAAAGCCCCCGCCTGCACTCGGTGATAGGATTCCGGTGATCACTGTTTTCTTCTGCTGCTTATTTTTATTCTCTAAAATGTCTACAGTGAACATGTATTATTCTTGTAAAAAATTAAACTACAAATTATTAAACACACAAATATTCCTTCAAGTACAGAAAGAACTAAGAGTTCTGACATAGGAATGTAGCCAAACAGCTAAGCAGGTGGGGATGGAGGCGAAGAGAAAGTTCTCTTCCACATCAGAGAGCGAGTCATGCCTTCCCCACACGGGGAGAAAACTGGACCAACCCGATGGCCAAAACCCTCCTCCAATCACTGAGTCTTCCAAAGAAAACACTTTATGGTAAGTAGGGCCCAAGACTGCTAGTAAAGTAGGCAGCCTATCTTTGCGGCTTACTACCTTCTGTTATTCTTCATAAAGCTTTCTCTCTTCCACTCTCTGGATTATGTTGGCTGCCCATAAAAATAATATGATTTTTAAGTCTCTTGAAAAATAGGAAACGACATTCAAAACACAGAAGTGGAAGTATTTGCAAAGATCCAAAGATCCACAAACTGAAATATCTACACCAATTCCCTGAAGATATAAAAGGTAATGGTGCACATGCACAAACTAGTTTTGAGTCTGGTCCTTAAGACTACATTATTTTTTCTTCCAATGGACAGAAAATAGCCATTTATAGAATTGAATTATTTCCCCTACCTTTAGGACCCCAAAGTGTTTTTTTACCATTTTTAGTCTTACTAAAGGGCAGACAGATGGAAGCTCTGGTTTAGCTAAGCCCAAATCAGAGCCTTGTTTCTGAACTGAGAAAGCTATGGGATGAATTCTGATCCCTTCCGAACTAGACTCGCAATTCACTATATATGGACAGGGGCAGAGTGAGGTTGTACCTTTTATAAGACCATATATGTAGCATGTGCAAAACTGCTGAAAATAACAGCAGTTTTCTGTCTAAAGCATTAGAACAGGTCATGCTAAGTCATCTTGGTAGGTATTTCAATTAGACATGTGCTAAACTGTAACTGAACAAGGATTAATCTCCTTCACTTATGTAAAGAGCTAAAAATGTTTAGATTTTAAGAGAATGGTGATGAAAAGATAGTATTTGATTTAAATGCTGTGTATCCAGTTCTTAATTCCATTTCAAAATGGGATTTATGTTCATTAAGAGGGATTACTGTAACTTCACAGTGGCAGGGAGGTAAAAAAGAGAGGTGAACCAACCCTATAATTATTATACATTCTCATCATCATCAAAAAGCATTTATCAAACATTGTTAGGCATGATGTTGTTGGCCGGGCCAAGTGACTCTCATTATGACCCAGCTGTGGCCAGTTCTGTCCTAAGAGCAAACAGCATGCTCCTTCAGGCTCACACATTCCTCGGGGCAGGCCTCCTTCATCCCATGTAATTCCACTCACATGGCCCTGAAACAGCAGGAGTTCCCACCGACAGACCAATAGAAGATTCTAGGGCTCCTATGCTGTCACCCTGCCCCCCCCCACCCCCGCTGCCAGGGGCAAAATAAATTTAAAAAAAGGAAGGAATGAGGTGATAAAACATCAGGGGAAACAATTCAATCTGCCCCTAGAGGGAAGGGAACATTTCTATCAACTTCCAATCCTGTATCCCCGACACTGAGATGGTGACAGGGTACCAGCCATCAGAGGGAAGGGTCTGCCAGCTGGGAAGGGGTCCCTTCCACTCCCTGCCTGGCTCCTGCTCCAGCCTCCTCTCAGGGCATGAGAACACTCGGCTGGACAGAGAGCACATGCTAGTTCTTTCATTTCTGGGTCTACCTCTTTCCTCTGCAAGTTTTAACCAGGAGTTTCAGGCAAGATGAATAAACATGCCAGATAAAAGATTTGTGGCGAAGGGCAGGGGGATCCTGAACACAAATTAACCTTGGGCTGGCCTGTCAGCTGAGAATGCAGAGGAGAAAAGGCCTCCTTCCGTCCATATTTTTCCGCCTGCTGATAAGATCACAGTTTGATCTGGGTGACACTCACGCGGGTACTCCGTGATAGCAGAGGCGATGAAAAGGCTGCGTGGTCCCCTGAGAACTTTGGAGAGTTTTGAGAACCTCTGACCTTCCTTCCTTCCTCCAAGTGCAACAAAAGGAACTGCTCTGGGGTCAGACAAATCTGGGTTCAAATCCACCTTCCCCCTTGGTCTATCCATCGTGGGACACAAGACACGGTCTATCTAACTTGTGTGAGCCTCAGTTTCTCACTTGCACAATGAGGACTACCTTTATGTTGCTGAGAGGATTCAATGAAAGAGACAGAGAAAACAATTACAGCAATGATTTATTGACTTTCTATGTGCCAGACACTGGGCTAAGCACTTGAAATACATGGTCTCACTTGTCTGAATTTTGCCCTGTCCAGTGCCTGGAACAAGGGGTCACTCAACGTTTAGACCCATCTTGTGCCAAAAATGAGCACAGAACGTTATGCCGCAGGCTCAGCAACATGCGGTTACGCGCACACTCGTGCATTTATTAGCATATTTCTGCTACGTTCCTAACCCTCTCTTGCTTGGCCCTGTCTCCTGGCCTCGTCTCCATCCGCCATCCTCCACCAAAGACACCAGGGTCGGCCATGGGCCTGGGTGGTGCCAGAGGCCACACAGCACCCACCAGAAAGCCAGCGTGTCCTCACAGCCAGCAAGGGTCAGGAGGCGGCTCTGGCTTTCACCGGGAGCGCTTTAGGGAGGGGCGCCAAGTGGCCCTGAGGACTGTCAGGATGTTCCTGCTGAAGGAAGCTCCCAGCTGAGTTTGGAGGGTGTGGTGAGCTGAAGCCAAGACTCAGTAATGTAAACAAGGAGGAGGGTGGCCTGTCAGATATTCGGACTGAGGATGACCCTGCAGGGGGCGGGGGATGGGAGAGACAGCTGGCCTGGTGGGCGGAGAAGGTGTTTCAGGATCCCAGGCTTAGCTAATAGGCTGAGAGTGAGAGAGCGCTTGGGGACTCAGGGGAGCCTGGGCCGGGGGGGGGGGGGGGTTAGTCATCTTGCCCTTAGCTTTCTTCCCTTTGAATTATGTCCCACACACAGGTCAAAAAAAAGAACACAGTTCTTTAAAACATGAGAGGTTTGACAGCTAAGTTGCCTCTGAAAAACCCCTTAGTCTTCCACAGCCTCTGCATTCTCGAATCGCCTTTGAATTTTCAATTAGAAGTGAAGGTATTAAGAAAACCATATTTAATCTCCCACCTCTTCATGGCATGAAGCTGGCAGCCTCCCTCAAGCCCGACTTCTGTTTTGTGAGAAATTTAGAGCTTTGCAGAGCATGTTCACCTGTGCTAGCAAATGTGCCCCTCACTTTAAAAAAACTGCTAAGGTCGGTGAGGAGCGGGGACCTGAGCAGCCCTGGGGAGGAGTCATGGAAACAACCTAAGCAGGACTAAGATTTTGAGGAAAAACTAAATCTTTTTTTAAAACCCAAATTAATTCTACTGTAGTCATCCTAATTTAAAAAATTGAGAACTCCCATTCTTTACATAAAAGAAAAATTAGAGTGTTCAGTGAATAAGATCTGGGTAAATTATGATTTAATGTTCTTTTCCCTCAATACTTTAAGGCCCTTTTATGAACACGAATAAACGTTATTCATTAGCCTTGGCTAAGATAAGTTACACTTAGTTTGCAAACAGAAAAATCCAAGGTAGAGAGAGGCCGAGGTTATCAGATGTACCTGGAATATCTAGTTACACACTAAGGCCCTCGATTTTGCATTGTGAGTTTATCACGGATGGAAAAAGTATAAATACATTTCTCTTACTGTTACTAAAGGAAATGAAGTCAAGTCCCATCAGCCATGTGTGGGAAGAGGAGCAGGATGGGGAGGGAGGAAGCGGCGGTGGAAAAGGGCGACCTGCTTTTTTACTGTATAAAACTATTGCTCGAATGTTCACAAGTATAGACATTCATGTCATTTCTTATAGAATTTTTTTCAAAGGCCATTTCTTCAGGAAAAAAGACAATATTACAATTTTGGAAGTTCTTACAAAATTATTGTCCTGTTTCTTCCTACCAAGCTCCTAAAGCAACTTCATGTGTGGCTCTACGCTGCGATCACAGCAATCTCACCTTCAGGCAATTACACAGGCAGCATTCGTCAACGATTTACCTACCTCTCCAAATTTTAGAGCACCTTTATCCAAAAGTGGTTTTCTTTGTCTTTACTTCTTTAAAGTATATGTATTATACTTTACGCAGGCAGGGACACTTTAGGCCAAGATCACCGCCAAATGATGGAAAGTTGAATTAAAATCTACTGAGCTTCCGTGTGCCCACGTGCCGTGAGAGGCACATAACTACAGCTTAATTATCTTGACTATTCAAGGAGGTATAAGCATCTGATCCTCACTTTATTGGTGAGAAAACTAAAGTTCTCAGGGGCTAAGAAATTTGCCCAAGTTTCACAATTAAGGGTGGACAGAGGCCTAATCAAAACCTAGATTCTCTTAACTCCGTTAACACATGCTCTTTCCTCTGGGTCACTTCTTAATTTTATGTGAGAAAACTCTGGTTCTGGGTAGGAGAGTTCCACTCCCCATGTGATTTTTGACATTCCTACAAATATTAAGCCTTTCTCACCACCCCTGACATCGGAAAGTCCCACGCCACATTCCTTACCTCCTCTGACTCTGGCAAAAGTTTAAGAAATTCTCGCAATGTCTCTGATCCATAATGCTCACTCTTTCCTTGATGAATATCTTCTACAATGGACTGAGGAGACCTTGAAAAGACAATTAGTCAGACTGCACTGCTAGAGTGCCAAAGAAACACCAGTCAGTGGAAATTAAAACAAATCACCTCCGCCCTCCTTTCAGTCCCGCCTTCTTCCCGGTCTCATGGGCATTTCTGTGTCAGTGATCACGACGGACCCGCTGCCAGGGACCCTGGGGATCCCTACCCCCCCCCCCCCAGAGGCCTTTTCACCCCCAAAATCATCCCTAGGCATCCAAGAAAGGTCAAAGTGGCAACGACCACAGGAGTCTTCTCTGGGAGAAGAAAACCATCCCTTCTGGTCTCATGAAGCTGCTGCAAGAGCCCGTTCTGTTCCACTTTGGAACACTTGAACCTCACACTGTTTTGACTCTCCAATCCAACCTCTAATCAAGGGGCAACATTTAAAAATTCCCTGACATGACAGGCTTGAATTGACAGCCCAGGGCAATTCTCCCTATATTTCAAGCCACCAGATTGGGTTTTCATGAAAGAAAACAGCACCAAGTGACACTCGTGAATGCATCAAAGCCATGTATCTAAGAAGGACCTGAAGGCATGAGGGATGACCTTCACGCATCATTCGACTCTGAGTTTCAGTTCACACTCCCAGACTCGAATGCGGACAGCACGGATATGACTAACGGTGCAGCTGTGTGCAAAAATCTTACTTCTTAAATTGCTTAAGGAATATCCCAATGTTCATGCTCCGTTTTGCATCCAAGACAGTAATCTGGAAAAAAATAAAGACACATAAGATTATTCAAGTACAACTAAGAAGAAATTGAGGAAAGAAGAGAAGAGAATTAAAATCTGTCAAAATATAATTCCAGTTTATAAGAGAATAATTTCCAATACATAAATCTGGTGATTAAGTGATATACCTAATATAGTCCTACAAATAGTAAAATATTATCATTTCCCCAAACTTTCTGCAATGATATATTTTAACAGTAATAATTATATATTATCTATTTTAATATTATATAATTTTTAATAAATTATATATTTAATTTTTTAATTTAGCAGGTTCCTCTTAAAATAAGATACTCCACATTTAAAAGCCCTCATTTGGAAAAACTGTCTTCGCATAGCAAGAATCACACGAGTTGTGAACTGAGAAAGTAAAACATAATTCTGAAGTGATTTCAGAGTCCCAACCCTGATTTAGAGACAAAAAAGAACCAATACTGTTATTTTCAGAAATGTAATAAAATTCTTAATCTCTTTCTAAAAGAAAAATTTCTTTTCATTGAAAAACAATATGTAAGTCCAACAACAGCCCTTCTAGGAGGAGGCAAGAAAGTGTCTTATATTTTGTTTACTCAGAATTTAAAAAGAAAACCCTGTGCTGCATTATACCAAGTCAAAGACATAATTTTTTTCATATCTTAACATCTCTGGAATCCGGATGTGTCTTACAATGTATGAATGACATCTTTGATTTAAAGAAATATGCTATTCCAATGTACTATCAAAACCCAGATTTTGGCTCCAACAGGTTTTTTAGCTGTACAAAATAATTTGGAAGAGTTTTACCAGACTAGAAATTAGAACTTTTCTTTTCTCTTCTTTTTTTTTTTGGCAGGGCGATGAAATACAAAGCCCTTTCTTCATCTGGAAATAAATATTCGAGATGTGTGGCAGAAAGATAACCTTAAAACTGCTGCACTTTTTTCCAGCTGTTTTTTGGTAAAGGGGGACTAGCTAAAATAGGAATGTTGTTATAATGCTCTTCCTTTCCAAATGTATGTGATTCATTGCGAACAAAAGAGAATCAGGTTTCAGATTAAATTCCTGATCTCTGGGCCTGCTTCTAAATTTATAGGAAACAGCAGGACTGGTAAGACTGTTAACCAAAGCTAATGGCACTTCCTGGCTATAAGGTTAAATTTTTACAAGAGCATGGTTGCCTTCGTTTGAAGACTAATCTTAAACAATCAGATTATTTACTATCCTAGGGGTTTATTTCATGTTAACACAATCACCTGCCAACCATAAAATAAACTCCCAAGTTAAAAGGGCCGGCTCCTCATTGCAAACCTACCCTGGGGTTGCAGTTCAAGTTCAGTGTGAAGGGAGGGGAGGGAAGTGGGGAAAGAAAGACTGGGGAAAAACCTGTCAAGGTTATCACCCTTTCCTGAAGGAAAGCTCATACCCAGAAGAGGAATCTAAAGTTATTGAGACAGACAGCTATTGTTTACTATAATTCATAAGTTAACAATTAACAATACGTATATTGATATAGCTGTATCCATATCCAAAGAAACTTTTCTGCCCTCACTTCTACCCAGAATGGGGAAATAACTTCTTTTATTTCTCTCATTCAATTACCACCTCCTGCTATATTCAACCTCCTGGGTCCCCACTACCCCAAACTCCACCCTCATCATCTTCACCCTCCAGCCCTCTGCGTCTCTTACATTTGGCCGAGATCCATAGTTACTGCTGCTCAGAAAGTGATGAAGACATTACTCTTACTAGTCCTATTTGCCATATAAGGAAAGTGAGCCTCTGAGATGCCATTTTTATAATTTCCCCAAAGCAACAGGACTAGAACTGAAATGCGCCCAGGTGTACCTGCTTCCTTTTCACTCGAGTTTCTGTGGGTTTTAATATCACTGAGCAGGAATACAGAGAAGTGGCAAACGTTCCCCCACCAGCCTTTTGGGGGTGTTTCTCCAGAAATGTGGGCAGATGTGAAGAAAGCCATCCACAGGGTTGGTCAAGTCCCCTGGTGACCCCAGAGTTATACGTATGGGATGATGGCTAGAAATCTCGCCGCTAGAACAGCCTCCAGGAGCCAAGAGGCTCCCTTATGCTCAGCGGAAGAGGCAGCCACAGCCTCGGGCAGCTGTCGGCTCTAGAGCCTGAAGCAGGGCTTCAGAAACCAGTCACTAAGAGAATTCAGCAATAGTCTTAAGGAGAAACCTGGGCTGGCCATGACTCAGCACCTAATAGGGAAAACAGCCCAGCGCCTCATCCAAACAACAGAAAACGAGACAGCTGATAACACTGCAGGGACGGCCCCACGCCCTGGCATCCTCAGATTTGCCTGGTGCATGAGCAACCTCTTTCTCGTAGGTTATCTCACTCGATCCCTCTAAAGCAGTGTTATAAAAGTGTTTGTTGAAGTCCTTCAAAGAGGGTTATCACTACCCATGTAAATTAGCTTATCTGACTTCCCAAATGCTGGCCAGCTCAACGCGCTGGGCAATTTAGAAATGAATGCCTGTGGGACTGCTGGGGCTTTGCAATCATTCAGAGCCGTGGACTCGACACCTGGGCCCCCTGTGAGACTCTCGGGCTCCACGGGCTAAGACGAATTGCGCCAAGAAGAGGGATGAGTTGACCCAGTCCCTCTCTCTCCTTACCAGCCCCAGTCAATCCCTATCTACCTTTCGGGATGCTGCAGCACATGCAGGCAGGACCCCGGGGGGAACAGGGCCCGCAGCAGCAGGCCCAGCCAGCGAGCGACGGAGCTCCTGAGCTTTCTGTGAAGGCCCGTGGCGGAGTTCGCCACCCCTGGCCAACAGGCGCGCTGACATGGCCGGTGTGTGCTCAATTCATCCCATCCGGAGGCTTCCCCACCAGGATGTGAGGGGACCTTGCTATAAAGTCACAGCCTCCCCACAGCTGGCCAGGGTGGCTGGGCTGCTCTAACCCCCTGGTGGCACTGAGACCAGAGTCTGTACCGTGTACTCAATCAGTGATGCGCACAGCTGCACCACCTTTCTGGGTAGAGCCTCTAAGGAAGCTCTTCTAGTTCCTTCCGCTGCAGCGCATGTCCTTTCACCTAGTCCCACTCCACAGCAAAACCTGCCTCCCGTATTCTCGAAAGGCAGAGGGGGATGTCTGTTTTCCGAAATACACCTAACAATGTTTGCCATCTTAATCATTTTCAAGTGTACAGTACACTTCAGTGGCATGAAGTATGGCCACATCATTGTGCAACCTTCATCGTCACCCATCCACAGAACTCTTCATCTTGCAATACTGAAACTCTGGACCCATTCATTACACCCTAACTCCCCATTGCCCTTCCCCTACCCCTGGCAACCGCCCTTCCACTTTCTGTCCGTAGGAATTTGACTACTCTGGGTCCCTCATATAAATGGAATCATACACTACTTGTCCTTTTGTGACTGGCTTGTTTCACTCAGTGTAATGTCAGGTAAACTTTGTCTCAGTATGCCAAGGGGGCTTCCATACTAAAATAACACGGAGTAGTGGTTATTTCAATCCTATGTCAAATTCTGAAGAGCCTGTATCTCCCAATATGGGCTCAGCTTTTGGGTTTTGATGGTTCTTCATTTCCTTTTTTCTTTTTGGCTGACTGTCAATTGGGAAATGTTCCTCTCCCAACTTTGGGGGGAAAACCCAGTTGAAGTTTTGGGGTCTTTTTTTCCTCCTTCAAACATATTTCAAACACTACTACCTGGTTGTATAGTTCTGGACTGAGTATGTTCCAGAATCTTATAATAATACTGGGATCTTAACAAAGGTTGAGAAAGAATGACTGATATCTGAATTACAGTGTGGGAGGATAAAATATTACTTCTCATAAATTTAGAAAACCAACATTCCTTCCATTTTCTCTCTCTCTTTTTTTTCTTTTTTTTTGGTGAGAACATTTAAGTTCTACTTTCTCAGCCAATTTCAGTTACACAGTACAGTGTCATCAGCTGTGGCCACCATCAGCTCCTCAGGTCCTGTTCATCTTATCGTGGTCTTTTTGTGAATCCCGATTTTGATCCATCATATTTGACACCTTGTAAGACAGTCCCTTTGCTCCCTTGGTTCAGTTCTTGACAGTTCTCGGTTGCCTTTAATTTCTCTGAAGGATACCAAATGGCTAAGACTGCCCCTTCCTTTAAGAGCGTTTCAGGTTCTGGAGAGAGACAGGTTCAGACCCAACGAACCAGTGTGGGGCTCTGAGGAGGCTGAGCAGCACCTGTAACACCTGGATGGGGAGCTTCTCAGGGGTGAGGTCAGCCAGCTTGGGGGGGGAGGAAGGTGGAGTCTGAGCTGAATCTTTTTATTATTATCACTAGTTATATAAATGTATTTCTAATTACTTTATTACAGCTTTATTACTGTAATATCTGTAGCCTCTTCAAGTTAATTTTTAGGTAACAAAGATACAAGGATGGTATTCCTAAGCTCGTACTCCTTATTAAATGTCCCAATTTACTGTTTTAAGTGTTACTGTTCCTAAAATCAGTGATTCCAAAAACCCAGCTCTTCCCTATCTTCCAGCAACTTCTTCCTCTGCAGTATAATGGAGCTTATTTGTAATGCTTTATAAGCCCTTTAAAGTATGAGCCAACCACATAATGGCAGGCCGTTTCTGTGGGAGGTTGTTATGTTTCAAGGGGACGTAATCTGTCCCGCAGCACGTGTGAACCTCCAGAATGGTGGCCTGTGTGGAGATGCTTGGGAGGCCAGGCATCTGGGCTCAGGGTGGGCCCCGCGGCCGAGCCCGCTGTCAGGGGTCCTCCCTTCCACAGACAGGTGGGTAGGACCACTCCTGGACTTCACTTCCTGCAGAGTGAACTGGGAGGTTTATTACTGGTCCTTGTGAGACTATCACCCTGCTGAGTTTTAACTGCTTTAGAAGGAAAATCTAATGAGGGAAGAAAACAGCACATACTGATTCTTTACTAAAAAAAAAAAAAAAAAGTATATATAATACTTGTAACCATGTAGAAGATGGCATACAAAATCGAAAATATTTCTGGATAACCCTGTTATGTGACAATATTATGTAACATGCACTTAAATCCATCTACCTAAACTACTTACCCTACCTGAGTACTGAAGAGTTACATTGTTTGATTACACAGTTATGGTGATTTGATTTTTCTTTCTAAAATGTCTCTCAGATTAGGACCTACAAGTGTTAAAAGTAAAGATATCTGCAAACCCATGTTTGTGACAGCATTATTCACACTAGCCAAAAGGTGGAAGTAACCCAGGTGTCCACTGACGGATGACTGGCTAAGCAAATGCGGTGTATACATGCGCTGGACTGTTATTCAGCCTTAAAATGCTCACACGCTCTAACATGGAGGAACCTTGAGGACATTACGCAAAGTGAAATAGTCCACTCACAAAAAGACAAATACTGTGTGATTACACTTACTTAAGTGCCCAGAGTAGTCAAATTCATGAAGAGGGAGTAGAAGGGTGGTTGCCAGGGGCTGGGAGCGGGGGGAAACAGAAGAGTTATGGTCTAATGGGCCCCGAGTTTCCGTTCGCCAGATGAGAATTCTATGGATGGATAGTGGTGGTGGTTGTACAATGACATGGATGTTTCAGTGCCCCTGAACCACACACTTAAAAATGGTAAAGATGGTAGTGTCTATTTTACCACAATTTAAAAAATAATTATTTGCTTTCAGTATTTTTTCTTAAGTTAAAGGGGAAAAAAAAGTAAAGATATGCCTAGGGTACAGGGGTGGAGGGAGGTGAGAATAACTCTTTCTTTCCCCCTGAATTTTATATCTGGCTTTGAAATGGACATTTCTGCTTCTGCCGTGGGGCGCGGGGGAAAGACGCCACGCCCTCTGCATCGTCCTTCCCTCTCCAAGGGGTCCTGAACCTCTCTTCAATTCACCAACATAGAGCAGCAAGTACCTCCTAGCCCCTTGAATTATCATTTGGCAAAATAAATGCCCCCAATTTACAAAGGCCAGCTGCCTCCCCAGAAACTTGGTGCTTTTCTGAGACATCACTTTTTTTCCACGTGCACGCATGCACTCTTTCCTTGAATATTCTTGAAACTCAGTAAGTAGAGCTCAGAAACAATGGTGGGAAATGACCTACAGTACAATAAGAAACCCTCTCCCAGCTTCCAGCAGAGAAGGCCGGGGTACTTAGGAAATGGCTTCTTGCTCCTTCCAATACTGAAATATCCTGCTAAGAAGTAAGAGGACTTTGCATAAAGTAAAGAAAGCGTGTATTCAGCACTAAGGATTATCCTGAAGACTTCCTCTCAAATTTATGTCACAGTTTACAGTGAATCCCAGCATTCTCGGCATTTTGTAACACATAGACTCTTGGCTATTTCAACAGGGCACCATACCACTGGCTTCAAGGGCCCCAAAGGAAATTCTTGGAGAGATGGCAGTTAACGTGTTCCTGAGCCACAGAGAAAAGAGGTCAATATTGCCGGCTTGAGAATTCAATAATGCAGGCAGCTGCTTCTTCATTCCAGAGCCCTGCCTACTCTCTTATCTCACCGGCTCCATCTCTGACCTATTTTCTCGTCTCCCTTACAACCGGGTAAAAAATGATGCATTTCTGTCCGCCCCCGCCCCCTCCCTTTTTTTTAGCAGGCAGCATTCTTTCCTTTTAATCCTTGGTTTCCTAATTATTTCTTCTAGCAAGTAGAGGCTTTTCAATTTGTACTCTCATGTTTCTACCCACAGAGTAGGCACACATGCAATTTTGGATTCAGTTTATATAACATACAGTGATTGGATGCCACACTTCCAGTTCACTTCTTATGACTTGCTAGCTTTATTATATTTTTCCTCAAAGTAACACACTGGACATTAACTGGAAAAAATGCTTCCTAGAAAGTCTATCTGAAAATCGCTTCATGCTTTGGCTCTCTGGAAATCTCTGTTCCACAATGGCCACAATTCAATTCAGAGATGGGAGGAATAAAGGCCATTGCCAAACACTTGTGCAAGGAAAACTGAAAGAAAAACCCAGGATAAAATCCCAAGGACGTGTATTAGTTAATGATGTTATTTAACAAAAGGCGCTCTGTCTCAGAAAGCTCCAGTCCTTCACAGATGACTGGGCTAGTTTTTTTGTTTCACTGGAGACGAGTAATCCTGGACTCCAGCAGAAGTGCTCCATCAGGGGAAACCGCAGATGTGCAGAGACGGGGCAGATCTGGAAGCCCGAGACGATGGCCCCAGAGAGCATGCTCTCTGCATGAGGTCATAATCCACTGAGATGTCTGGGAGGATCGGCATGCACGCTCCTTACACTTTGCTACTACTCAGCTCAAGTTCATCATCTAAGGCCATTTCAATCATTCCCAGAGCACATTCCCTCGCATTATGTTATCCCTTAGCGATTCTAACAAGTTTTGAAAGGTTTGTGCACCCCCAAACTCAGAACAATGTCCCATTCTTACCTCCTCTCTCGCCTCCCTGAAGGACGAATTTAAAGGTCCCCCTCTCCGGGAGAGGGAAGGCTTGGTGGCATCTTCCTGCTGCCCGAAGAGCTCCTCGACAGTCTTCGCATCGATCTGGTAGTGATGCTGCTGCTTGGCTGCCAGGGTCCAGATGTTGGTTTTGCCGCGTACTTGCTCCTCTGGAATGGTTTTCCAAAAAAAGCTTCTCATTCGCTTTTTCTTACCGAGGTGGCTGTAGCCGTTCACATGAGAAGTTGGGGGCAGTTCGGGAGGGGGAGGAGGCCCCGGAGCCCCCTCGGGGAGTGGATGATGGGGAAGAGGCGGGGGAGAGGGAGGAAACCCTTCGGCCGAGTATGCTGGGCATGGCGGAGGTGGAGGGGGAGGTGGAGGAGGAGGAGTGGGCGGCGGCGTTTCCTCAATCATGAAGCCAGCTGCTGTGGCGATAGTCCCATTTTCTTTATCACTGACCAAGGAGACGCAATTCATAACATGCATAGTATTGTTGCCTTCTAAGGAGATAATTTCTTGACTTTGGGGAAGCAGACACAAACCTCAAACTTCTGTCATACGTTTTCACCCGCTAGTCTGCAGCCAGCGAAAAAGGTACCTGTGTTGTGTATCATCTTCCACACCTACAAAGATAAAAGAACTTTAAAATCAGCATAGGAAAACGTTCTCATACGGGCTGTTCCCATCAGAGGCTAGTGCCGGTCCTCCTGGCGTAACTGGATACTAAAATCAATGAGGGATAACACATCCACGGGAGCATTAAAAGGAACTAATACTTTCCTAAATGTGAACCAAATTTTACCACCTGGAAATGTTGCCAAGACAGCAGCAATAAATCTAACTTGGAAACCTTCTGTTAATCGATAAAACATATACTTGCTGAGAACCCAACTATAGGTTCAGTAAGAATTGCTCACTTTATGAATAAACTGCTTGTTTGTGACCTGGCTCAGCATCTTTGGACGATGGATACGCCGACCCTGGGGAAATTATACAAAGTACTGAAGTGTGAGGCGTTAGTGACTGTGCCTTTCTCTGGTATAGACATGTTCCCTAGCAATCAGTTGGCCTCTTCCACCTTGCGTGTAATGGGCAGGAATTTGGAGATAATCAAATCATGGCTGAACTCATCTTGCTGGAGTCAGAGCCACCACGTTCCTGCTCCACTTGGTATCATCGCTTCCCCGAAAATAGAGAAAAGAACACACTAGACGGGAAGATTAAAGGTTCCAACTCTAAATCAAGCTTTATCGTTTACCATTTCAGACAAGTCACTTTGCCTCACTAGACTTGAGTTTCCCATTTGTAAAATTAGGAGGTTGGGATACATTACATGACCTCTACCATTGCTTCCGATGCTATCGCTTTGGATTCTAGCTAAGCCGCTCTCTGGAAACCATCTGCCTCTTCCGTGACACTCCTAGCAAAGAAGACACAAACAAGAGGAAATGCTGCCCGAGTCACACCTGCCACACGTTCACCCCTTATCTACACACACACACACTGACGGACGTCAGCGGCCTGTATTTTTATCAGCCTTTACATGGCTGTTTCTGGTGTCGGGTGGATATGGAAATGAGGTGGAAACGGGGGTTAAAAGAAGTACATTTCTTCAGATACGAACACAGGTTAGTGGGAACGTGGGACCGTGCAGGCTATGGAGTGAGCGCCTGACTCTGGGTGTAGGAAAGGGGGGCTGTTTTCTCCAGGTCATAACGGGCCGAACGGAAGGACTTTTCAGATCAGACTTTATAGTGTGGTTGTCCTTTTACAGCATCACTGTCAAAGCTCACGCTCTAACACACACACGGTGGTCAGCCAAGACCGGGTTACACAGGAGTAAACTGTCTGCTATCACCAAATCAAATATTACAAACTGTTCTCCACAGAACCACACATAAAAGGCAAGACTGCCTTGGAAATAAGACTGGAGATTCTAGAAGCAGACAGATTTTCCTCAGGTCCTTCGATGTGCAGCATGAGGTGAGGCAGATTATTAATCCTACATTTCAAAATCCTCTTCTATAATATAAGGATATTCCATTTCACTCATTTGTATAAGAACATATGAACTAATACATGTACAGTCTTTACCAAGAATGTCTATATATAATTAGCTATTATTAACAACTGATTTTCTTTTGTACATCATTTTCTTTTCCCAGGCATTACATTTGCTTTAAAATATGTATTGGGTTTATAGATAAAATGCTCAGGGTGCTAGGAACCTTCAATATTTCCATTCTCTGCTTTCTAAGTGACTAGGTTTCAGAGATTTGTCCTTCTTTAATACTCAGTGATTGTATATTAAGTTAACTCTACCAAGAACAGATGTTTTTATTAAATGTTTGAATAGTTAAGTTCCGAAAAGTATATATGGCTAGAAAATAGCCTTTCCAACTATTAATTGAATAACTTTTCTTTTTTTTTTTACCATTTTTATCATGTTTAAGTTACATCAGTGATATTAAGTACATTCGCAGTGCTGTGTAAGCCATCACCACTGAATAATATTTTAAGAAGTAAAACTGAAAATATTATCCAAGCCAACTTGCAGCTCACTTGAGATGCAACTGGCTTTTAAAAGGAGTTTTCATAATTATCATTAGGGGCATAACTAGGCTGTTTTCACAGTTGGCACCGCTAACGCAAATGACTCATTGTCAATTACAGTTTATAGTTATATTTGAACTCTTCTTTTTTCAAGACAGCACAGGTAATCTTGGCAGTTTATCCTCACATATTTTAAAATACTTCTGCACATGAAATATCTCATGTATAGAGGAGTTCTAGTTCTCCAATTCACTAATTATGTATAGAAGAGTTGCTAATCCTTCAATTCCAAATATGCTGACTTGTTTATAGATTATCCTGGTTAACAATGGTGATAAGCTAAAAAAAAAAAAGTCTCCATCCTAGAGAGCATGTGGTGCTGAGTAAATATATGCACAGATGTGCCATTAAGCCTCTCATAGCAAATGTCGAGATACTAATAAAGAGTGGGAAAGACTACACACTCCAAAGCTGTGCAACAACAGCACTTGTGTTCCAATACCAAACCCTGAAAAGGTGCAAGCCTTTTAGAGTGTTATGCATTACACAGGGAAAGTACCAGATAAAAGCTTGTCAAAGTAATAAGTAACACATGTTAGCTATACATTGGCATGATTCTAACCCCCCCATCTTGAGAAAGAATATTATTTGAGCCCTGACCGGGTGGCTCAGTTGGTGGGAGCATGGTCCTTTTGCGGGCTCGATTCCTGGTCAGGCCACATATCTAGGTTGTGGGTTCAATCCCAGGTTGGGGCTTGTACGGAAGGGAACCAAAGGGAACCAATGTTTCCCTCTCACACCAATGTTTCCTTCATGCCCCCCGCCCCCAATTCCACTTCCTTTCTCTCTAAAAAATAAAAAAACAAAAAAAGTCAACAAACATATCCTCTGGTGAGGATTAAAAAAAAAAAGTTGTTTGAAAAAGTTAAAGGAACAAAAGAAAATTTACAACTTTGTTTCTGGTATGTTGTTTGGCTAATTTCTTCCCAGGGTAACATACAAGAATCTTAGACCCCCAACAGTTTCTAATGAATGAGTTGTCCAGCAATGATTAGCTAAGATGCTAACTCTTTTATCACTGGCTTCAGTAGGGCCTCAGTGGGGCTTCCTCCCGGGCCAGGATTTCTCACCTCAGACAGAGGAAGGAAAAAGAGAGCGCGGATAGACATTCTAACCCTTTCCACAGTCTCAGGAGACATGAAAACAGAGGATACACAAAGAACATTTAATTTACCTTGGTACTGTCGCTGGTAAACACACAAACATACACTCTCCAAGTACACGAGGAGAACACAGGTGACCTAAAGACATAGACTGTTTCTCACAGCTGGCAACTGCCAGGAGGGACAACTGAATTAGCCTTGGCTCTGTCTCGAAAATGTCAAGTAGCCATCAATCTCCCCTAGGCAGACAGAGACTGGCTTGTATTTAACATCTCACCTACAGGTTGAGGACCTCAGCAGCAGGGAGGCCGGCGCTCAGGCTGAAAAATGCGCCTCTCTGAGTAAAATGGAGAGCTGTCATGGCACGGCTCTGAAGATGGAACTTCTCTCTAAGTCCTCTGCGTGCTAATCATGACCCAGCACAAGTGTGCCTGAGCGATGGGCACTCCTGGGGAAGGGGAAAGCGTGGCCATGTTCTTGGCCTTTAGCTCATCAGCGAGCAAAAAAGCCCTAGAATAGGAATGTTTGTGGAGTCTCCAAAGAAGCCCTCTGGCCCCTGCCTAAACTCTCCTGCCTAAACAATCCCATTCCTTTGCTCTTGGTGTCAGAAACACAGCCAAAGCTCTGCTCCCTTGAACAGAGTGGGTGGGAGGGAAGAGAGTAGGTATGCTTTATTTCAGTGTATTTAGGAGGAAAACATGTTCCTCAATGTCAGGTCAGAGCTCAGAGCTTTCCCGAAAGAGGGTTTCGAGGGCCCTTGTTGCCCAGCTGGCCACTCACCCCCTAGATGAACAATCATCAAAAGTAAACACCAAGGAAACACCACACCAGAAAACCTTTCCACTTGATTCCTGACATGTGTCACAGATGAGGTGGGAGCAGGAAGGGCTGGCCCACACCCTTCTGATGACAAACAGGGGCAGAACATGTCAGGTTTGGAGGGAAGAGGCAAAGAAATTCACAGTCCATATTATTTGGGGGGAAAGAAAGGCTGGGGAGAGTCCCGGCAATTCTAAAATATGGAATTCTTGCTCTCACTCCACTAATCCATTGGGAAAAGACTCCTCCCCACCACCTATCTTTCAGTACCTTTACTAAACACAGAGTGTCAACCAGAGTCGAACCAGAGCTGGCAGCGGAGGCTGTTTCCAGCCAGCGTGTTTAATCTGCAGCACAACGTAAACAATTCACAGATGCCCGGGAGCGCAACACCCTGCGAGCAGAGAAAGAACGTCTGTTTTTGAATGTGCATTTTCAGTTTCTCTCAATGTCCCAAAACCAAGAAAGAAAGCAAACTAACGCCAAAGGATGCTCTAGAGAGAAGGAAGCGCAGGCAGGCTACTCATTCCAGGCAGACAACTGTGGGTCAGAAGAGGGGGGATCGCAGACGGCCGGACAGTTTCTGGGCAACACATGTTTGAAAATGACCAGGTCCTGAAGAAATTCGACGTGCGGGACAACGGCGGCACGATTTCTTTCAGAAAGTCTGGACGCACAGCAGTTTCCTAAGTCTTTGCTTTGGCGAGCGGTCCACCACGTCCCCCGACCCCGCCCCAACCACTCACCAAAATGCCACTGGCTCGGCCGCACAAAAGCCTCTGAAAGCGCCGCGAGCCCCTGGCCCTCGGCGGTCACACAGCAGCGTCCGCCGGAATCCCCAGGGAGCCCAGTTCAGCGTCCGGCGGTAACAGGACCGAAGCGAGTGGGAGGTCCCCGCGGACAGCACGCGAGCCCTCAGCTCTGTCCTTATCTGGACCCGCGGCAGGAGGGCGGGGTAACCTGTGCGAGGCGCAGACAGACGCCCACACGCGCCGCGCAGCCTCCGCGGCGGTCGCCTCGGCCCGGAGAGGGCGCGCGCTGGGGAGGAGCCTCCGCCTGCTGTGCGGGGACAAGCGGGGACCAATGGGTCGGTGCCCGGGAAGGGCTTGATCCTCTGCCTGCTCGGAGCGGATGCCTCATCTCCGGCAGAAGCTACTAGAGAGGACTAGGCACCACTTAGCCCCTCCCGGTGCCTCTACTACTGGCGGCTCGAGGCAGGACAGGGGGTCCTCAGGCCCCGCCCCCTCACCCCGAAGGCCGGAGCTCTAGAGCCTTCCCCGCCCCCGCCGACCCCTCCCCTTGCCCGCCCCCTCTGCGGCACAAAGCTCCCAGACGCGGGGGGAGGGGGCTAACTAGGGAAGGTGGCTGTGCTTGAATCTAAGGGGGAGGTCACCTGGTTCGTGGACTTGGGCTCCGATCTCTCCTCGCACCTCCAAGGTGACACCTCCCTACCTCCCAGGTTGGGGTCCCGGGCGCAGGGAAGAAAGCCTCATCGCCGCACTGCGGCTCAGCTGGAGGCAGCGGGAAAAACCGGCGAGAAAAGCCGTAGAGGGAGACTCCTGGTGTTTGATCGGAGAATTAAACAGAGAGCCCGCTGTCCTCAGGCTGGGGCGCAGCAGCCGATAGAGGTGACCCGCCAGCCCACCCGCTTCTTCCCCAAACTTCCACAAGTGCAGGGCGCACCTTTCTAACCTGAACTTCGCACGACCAGAGCGAGTGTGCAAGAGCAAGAGCCGTCTCGTCCTCGGTCTTCGCCAACCCCGCACCCACTGTCAGAGGGGCAGGTCCAGAGTCCCCGCTGGCCAGGGACCCGGCGCGGCGCCCTCAGTTGAGCGCTATTGGGCAGGTGGGAATCAGGTGGGGGCACAGATTCAAGTCTTAGCAGCTAAAGTTAAAGCAGCCCTCCCAGGTCCAACCCGGAGGCAGCCCGCGACCTAGGTCGTTCTCCGGACGCGGGTCCAGACACGCGCGTTTTTGCCCCAAGGGACCGATCGCTGTACTCAGAGGCCCGGGAAGTGCAATCGCCAAAGTCACCTGGCTGGGTGTGGAGAGCTCAAGCGTCCCCAGCCTTCTTAGTGGGGCTCGAAGGCAGCCGAGACCCAGCACGCCAGCCTGGGGTCCTAGCTGATCTCCGCCCTCGGGCCCCCCTCCCCCCTGAGCCGGGAGTCCGCTGGGTCCCCGTGGCCCCGGAGCAGCGATCGCCTCTGCCTTGGCCGCGCGGCTGACACTCACCCGCGACCGGCGATCCCCGTGCTTGCTCCGAGTTCCCAGCGCCGCGGCCTCTTCCCCTGTCACTGCAGCCGGGGCAGCCCGGGACGGCGAGGGGGCAGGACCGCGCGGGGCGGGGCTCAGCCGCAGCCTCAGGTAACAATGCTGCGAACTCCTAGCGCCCGCCGTCAGGCCAGCACGCCCCTTCCTGCTTGGCCCCATCCCCCTCCTACCCTCCGAACACCAACAGCCGCGCTGCCGCGTTGCAGCGCTCACCTTCACCTGCGCGGGGCCCCGGGGGCCTGGAAGCCACCACCCGGCTCGCTGCTCCCCGCGGGGCCGAGTGGTCGACCACCGAAGGAAGTAGGGGCGGCAGGGGACAGAGATGTGCCGACAGTTGTCTAAGAGCCAGGTGTCCTCGTGGAACCAGCAAGGAGGAGGCGCCAAGCTGGCTTCTGAAGCAGCCGGAGCCTTTCCACAAAGGAGCCTCTGCGGTAGCCTCCCTGGCACGCTCCCCTGTGTACACGCGCGCGCGCACCCCTGCACGCACACACCCCGCGCACACACCCAAATGTGTGCCAGACCATACTCTGCCCCACACTTGTTTCTCCCTGAAGCACTAGGGTGAACTGTCCCAGCCCGCGTAGCCTAATTCCAGCCGGGCGGGAGTTTCCCTTAATTCTCAGTGGCGACTATAACAGGAACCTTTTAGTTATATTTAAGTCTGATCGCCCGAACAGACGGTGCCTGGGAAAGGCACTTCGCAGGAGGAAACGAGGGAGCAGTTTAATCGCATCTTTTTTCAAAGTGACTTGGGACGCCAGGCAGTGGGAAAGGAGTGGTCCAACAAAACCTGTCCCTGGCAAACCAGCTGATTGGAAATCAGCTGCAGGGTGGGGAGGCGCCCTCCCCGGGATGAAGTCATCGCTACCTTTGACTCGTGAGCCCAGATAACAGACCAGTGCTTTTACACCAGCCTGATGACTTCAGCCTCTCCACCCCGGTCCTCAGCCCCTGGACTCCCAGGGCAGAACTCCGACCTCTGTGTGGGTAGAAAAAGAGAAGCTACTAAGGTAAAAAAACAAAGCAAAACGAATAAATCCCCCAAACAAAATCCATCCCAGCCAACAGCCCATTTCTTAGCGGTTAACGAGGCTTAAGCTAATCACGAAAAGAAGTCGACAGACCACAGAAAATCTCCAGGAGTGGGAAACGGAATAGAAGAGAAAGGCAGCTCCATGCACAGGCAGCTAATATCAATCCCAGGGAGCAGTCAGGGTGACTGTAGGGGAGAAAGTTAAATGACGGAATATCAAAAATAAGGAGTGGAGTAAGATCCTCTCCTTTATTGTCAGCTTCAGATCCGTACTCACTGCACACTTCCCACTCCTTAAACCCCCCTCCAACCTGGACTCTACCCCTCCCCCACCCCCATACTGACTATGTGCTCTAAAATCACTTTTTTGAGAGGTCAAGTCCAGTGACCCGTCCTCAGCCCAAGTTCCTTTGATCTCCCCGTAGCATCCTGGCCTGCAGGCCTCCTCTCTGCCTCTCTGGCCTCCTCTGCTGACCCATCTTGTCCTTTGGGGACAGTAACTCAAGCCTTCCTCTCAAGCCTTTATCACCCGTTACCCCCTGGTACTGCCTTTTGACTTCACCCGGGACGGATCCAGGTTTTGTAGGGCCTGAGGCTTGTAGAATTCTTGAAGGAGCTTTTTAAAGAAAAGCAATTTAAAAAAAATAAAGCAGCTTGCAAACACAACAGTACGTATGCGTCCAGGGAAAATCAGGGGCATGAAAATTTGAGCTCTGAGGCAAATGCACTATGTCAGGGACTCTAGAAACTATTGTCCCCGTAATATCTCAAATCCAAAAGCAGTGTCCAAAATCAACTCATCTTTTCTCTCAAAACTAGCACTGCTCTTTTTTTGCACCCCTTACTTAAAACCTCGTTTTTTAAATTTGAAAACCCAGCTTTCCTCTGGTTCTTTTTGTCTTCTAAATTCCTCCTATCCAAGTATTTGCCAAAGCTGTGCCCTTCCTCACGTGCTATCTCTTACATCTGTACTTTATGTTCACTGCCACCACACTAGCCCCAACTAGCAGAAAGGGACACTGACATTTACTATCGGCCATGAGTCAGGCATCACCCTGGGCCTCACAACACTGTATCCCAGCTCAGAGAAGTTAACCGGGGCTCCTGCACCCGCTTCCTCAGCATCCTTTCTTCTTCTGTTCTCCCCGACTCAGCTGTCAGGCAGGTCAGTATCTTTCAAAATGTGATTTCGTCCCATTGCTTACCTGTTCAAAACCTTCTACTGGTTCATATATGTGCCCACAGGACCAAGTGGCATTCGTCAGGCTGACGCGCAGGCAGCACCCTCCCTCCATCTCCCACAGCCTGAGGCATCCCATTTCACCCAAGCAGCGTGTCATGTATATAGTTTGACTCTTATCTTCTGTGTTGGGCCTATCAAGGGGCCAGGGAGCCTTTGGGTAGAGCAGAATACAACTCTCAAATAGACTTAGTGTCTCGATGGATTTACCAAAGGCTGCAAATCTTGAGGACGATTTATTCTTTATCTATTCGTGTGACTGATTGTTAACCACACCCTCAATTCACCCGACTTTGTGCTGGGGAGTTCAGAGCAGCCATTCCCAGCAATGTGCTAGCCACTCTGGGAGGAAGGCTAGAGAGACTTCCAAGGCCAAGGGTGCCCAAATTCAGCCCAGCCGCTGGAACGCGTGTCTTGGAGGCGGCTGGGGCCGCTGTTGCGGGACCCTCGAGCGGCGGTCAGTGTGGCCAGCTTGCACTTTACCGAGCCAGCCAGACCTCTCAGGGGCTGTGTTAGCGGCTTCCTGTGGCCCAGGCAACAGGCCTTGCAGCGCGAGCTGCAAGCCCCGCAGGAGGATTCTTCTCTACTTGCCGCTCGCTCCCGTCTCCCAGGCGGTCTTTTCCGATCGCTCCTCTTCCTCGCCCGCTCGCCCGCTTGGTTTTCTTCCAACTTTGCCTCTTCAGCCCTCAGCTGTTCTCAGTTTCCTGCATCAGGCAGTTTGAATGTGTCTTTAGGAACCACTAAGCAAAAGCTCAAACAAAAATGAATCAACTTTCAGGATCCATTCTAAAGAATAACAGGTTTACAGTTCTAAAATAGGCTTATTATTTAAGAAGTAAGTCTAGGCCGTCCGCTGGCTCCATGGGCCTGCTCGGGGTCCGCAGCAGACACACGGAAATGCGTCCCTCTGGCAAGAGAGTGCAGTATCAAACTGATTTTTACACTTGATCTTATCCAAAAGGCCGAGAGGCCATAGCATCAAACTGATTTTTAATGCCCTCTCTCTTGTATAGATTGAGGTTTACTTAATCTTTATTCATCTTAAAACATATCTGATGAGGACTGTTGTTCAGATCTAGATGATAGGCTGTGTCTTGGCTCTTAAAACTGGAAACTACAGAAGAAACAAACGACCAGCTCTACAGTTAAACAGATTTGACTCACCAACCCTTCTAGTAACAATCATTTCTAAGAGAGCTTGCTAGACCTTGTTTACTTCAAAGGGTAGAAATGGTAGAACAAATAAAA